TAGCTGGTAGCAGGAATATGGCAATCATGTTTTTAGAATTTGTGGTTTCGAGTGACTTAAGACATTATATTTATGGCAAAAAAATACATATGGCGTTTACATTTACTTAGATAACTAGGTATTCCAATATACCTGCAGTATTCCAAATATGCCGCACTCCCTCTACAGCTACAGAACAAGTGCATAGCAGGTGAACAACAGCTAGTTCTAAGTTGACATCTTGTAGAAAAACCTACGTAATGTCACAAAAACCCCATATAATTAAAAAAAAACCGACGTAATGTGTTGGGAAATCTGTAACATGGGAAATTATCCTAGTGATGCTTTCCTATAGGACATTCGACGAATTTGATGTAGATGTCGATATTTTTCTATGTGACATGTCACATTTGACAACTATTATAATCATAAACTGATATGTCCCATTAGCACTGTTGAGCGAACCGGTGAAGCGAATAAAGCAAATTTGCTCCACATTTCATCTTTTCTTTTTAAATTTTCATAATCGTTATATGGCGTATGTGATCACCACCGGTTTGCGAACACGTTAACAAGCTGTTAAGAAGCGCACTAGGTCTACAAACTAGACTATTGCCCTTGAGGTGTTGCTTACAGAGCTGCACCAAAAATGATAAAATAGGAGATGACATGGATTTTGGAAAATACCTTTTTTTATCCAAAGAGTTCAAGTCCAAATGATATTATTGAAATGGACATGTTTGTTTTCCGTCTCTGTAACACGTACCAACCACAGAGAGTGATGTTCCGTGCTTATTAGGAACTCAAGCGTGAGGTACATATATGTCTACTTGTTCTGGTTACTGATGAACGGACCACACCCGCTGAGCACGAAACAACGTCGTCTGCGGTTGGTCGTGATTACAAAGACGAGAAGCAAACACGTCCTTTTCAATTGTGTCCATTTATGCATATATGCATAGAAAGCCATTGTTGGTCTGCTTTGTGAATACTTGGTGTTTCGGCTGCTAGGTGGGTCTACCGTCTTGGTGGTGCGATATCTATTTATGCTTAGCGCGGAACGTCGGGTAGTTTTGGACCGGTCATCCTTCATCGTACGGAATGATGATGATCAACTTGGCAAATCATTGGTAGGTGGACATTTTCAGATTTTTCACCAACCGCATACTACAAATGATATTGCTATATAGGGTGAGAAGTATCAGACGTCTTTCTGTCAAGCCTCTTCAATAGTAAACATTTTATGATTTCATTGCAAAAGTTGGCACTGTGCTGTATAAATATGGATAGAAAGTTAGTTGCGTTATTTGACTTAATTTTCGAATAAGCAGATTTTTTATAATGCAATTTAATGGTGTTACTCCAGGAGAGAATTAGTTTTATTATCATCGCGATTACAAAAGATTGATCTCCTCAAACTGAAACGAAATTGTTTTCTGTGATAACCCTGTACAGCTACCAAGTCTCCAGTAACTTGGTTCAAATATAATTAGGTATAATGCAGTTTTACTGAAAATAATATAATCAGCTATCTACCTACAATAATGCTGTTAGTGAAACGCGGTGGTATGCAAATTGAAGAGACAATTAATAAAAGTGGCATACTGGGAAACAAAACCATTATACGGAAACTGTTAACAGAGAACATTCCAGCATATTTTAAGGAGATATCTTACGTACAAACGTGAAACAAAGTTTACATAGAACGTTTTTATTCGTTGGTTTCTTAGTAGTTCATTAAGTCGTAAATTACAGACACATCTACAAATAATGTTTTACTTTTGAAGTTTCAAGGGATAATAATAACCTGTTATACATTTTATCATGCCATTAAAAGAGCTGGTTGTGGAGATCTATTTCATGATCACTAAGATAGTACGATTTTTGATAATTATTGGCTAGTATTTATAATTTTATATGAGAGTGGAGAGTCTTTTCTACAGCCGACCGAAGAAGTACGTATGTCGTCTGTCAACTCAAACGTAAACTTCTTGGTTCGCTTTCTAAATCTTGCCGGATCGAACTATTTCTCGAGAGGTGCACTTGATATATAAATACCTACTTTCGGTTTATTTGATTCTTCAGCATAAAACAGCTTTCTCTTTCCTCTTAGGTTATTTTTTTTACATCAGACTCCCCATAACATCGGTTTAGTGAGATTTTGCAATATTACGTATGTTATCATAATATATAGATAGTGTCAAATCGTTTTCTTCATCTATTGAAAAGTAAAAAATAAATAAGACAGCCGTGTTCGGTTGAGCGTCGGTACGCTTACTTTTAATTTCTAAGCTCTTGGAAATACAAACCTCGACAATCCAGAGCAATCCCCGTGGGATTTTGTTTCGCCAGAAATTTTGCCTGCGTGGAGGAGAAGAAATATTTGTCCCTAAAGCGGTGTAATTCTCCAACTAAAATCGTAAATTCTTTAGATTTGCATCTGTTTGTTTTGTACCGTAAACATAAAAGCTAGCGATAAAAAGTGCCTTTCTGGATAATGTGGTTTTACTCATTTTTTCATTAACGTTTTCACTATTGTATTTCAGGTGCTCAATGCACAAACATTTGAATTCTAGATTACTTGTTTTATTGTATATTTTATGGATCGTTATCCTTATTCAGGATGATTTAAAAAAAAATGCTGAAGTTTATTGAGATTATCCAGAGACTATTTAGATCTTTGGCGATCTTCGACAAACCACGAAAGTGATTAAAATTCTCGGAAATAACACCATTTATTAGCAAAAATTACAAGTTTCGCTTCTAAATTTATAATAACTGTTCATGATTTAAATACTCAGGAAGAATTAATTCCTTCAATCTACCCCTTAATAGACCACCGGAACTCTTCAAATACAGCAGGCTTAAATTATTAAGTTACATTCAGCAAGTATTCAATTTCTTACTATAGTTATCTAAAGTAACACGTTCGCGGGGGCCATTCTGGTAACATATGAAGAAATAGCATGAAACAGCTGTCTATGTTTGGCCGTCTATAGTCGGACAAACGCAAGCTATTTTACAAGTTTGTTCAATGGCGAGTAGACCGTATAGCACCAGAATTGGCGGCACCACAATGGTGACCTGGCTGACAGTGCGCACGGGGATATGGTTCCAGGTTCTATCAGGCAGGTTGCTGATTTTACTTTTGCGGTGTTCGATTCTGGTAACACTTTGTGCTGTCTTATTTCGTTAGAGAAATTCTCATAGATGACGCAACGGTGTCTCATTTTATCTCGGATAATTTTTTGGACGCGACAATATAGCATTACGCTGGCTATCTTTCAGAATATGTTTATCAATGGTCTAATCCAGTTTTAGCGGAATACGCTTCAAGCGATATTTTGTAGCGCTATTTGTAAAGCTACTAGGGATGGCCGTGGCATAAACCTCATCTGACAAAGATCGGTCACTAGCTTTAGCGCTGTATAGTCGTTAGAAGCACATAATCTATCTAGATGTTAAACGATTTGGCTGGAAAGCTGATAAACAACTAAAGCCTTCGACACGATATTCTTTCGAAGCTACCATTTTACTCCTTCGATTAAAGTAGTACACTGCCCATGGAATCCTACCTAATCGATATTCGTATAATGCAATGGCTGCAAATCCTCGCTCAGCCCAGTTTTGCATGGTTTTCCACAAGGTTCTGTCCTCGGCTTTCTGGTATTCTTATTATATGTAAATGACTTGCTCAATTGCTTTTGTAACAACACTAATAAGAAGCCAGTTCTATAAGCCGACACAACTCTTATTTCGACTCACGATTCCTTTGTCAACTTGGATATATTCGACTTCTATTTAAGCGTCCGATGATTTTGAATGGCTTGCAAGCAATCAGTTGTTAGCAGTGAATTCAACCAAGACTCTATCCATGACTGTTACCCTACGGATTCATGATGTACAAATAAGAGTCAGACTTTGCCTATAAAATAACGTACATTTGGAACACCTGCTGTGATTTACGTCTGTTTATTTATGATTGCTATTGCTATTACCATGAATAAAATGTACATGTTGTGCTCAGGTTAAATATATCACTGAATTTAGACTGAACAGTACATTTAAATGTCAAAATTCCAATATAGTGTCCATATGCAAAAACAAGATTGGTGATGAACAAAATTTGACTACGCCATATTGTATAGGAGAATAAGTAATAATGACGACCGGTAATTTATTTTGAAATTCCATCTCAAATTATGCCAGGAAAAAATAAAAGTGGAATCTAGTATGCGAAATAAATGACAATCTGCTAAATTAAATGCCTACTTAGAAAATTCTGCTTTTTTGAAATAACTCAGGTTTGACAGAGTCAATGTATGACGTATTATATATTTTTGGAATAAGAATTAAAAACTCTATTCATCTGTGCAAAAATCCAATATGGCATCTATTAGAAAAAATAAAGTTGATGCTGGAGGAAAAGAGATGAGACGTCATAATATTGAAATTCTAATTAGGCCATCTTATAGAGAAGAAACAGTGGCAATGTTAATTTGCAAGTTATTTTGAAATCCTACTACAAATAAAGCCAGGAAAAAATTAAATTGATATTGGAAATTCGTTTTTCTGCCTCTATCCGGAACTACATTGAATTACGAAACTTTCTAAGCGGCATTTTGTTGATTACCTAAATACGCAACATTGCTCCGATTTAAGCGAATTCGTATCTGTTACAGGTACCGAGATCCTACTGGTGAGGGTCGTATTTGGAATACCCTGTATATATTTATATTGTATTCTGACTTGTGTCAGCATACATTAACACCAAAAAACTATTAATATTATTAAACCTGTGCTTTCAATCTGTAGTGTGTTAGGTCCACCTTAATAAAACATTACACGTACTTTTTGTACAACTTGTACTGTACGAAAAAACACACCAGCAACACCGCAAACCCGATTTTAAATCCCCAAGCTCCGACGACGCTTGTCGATCTGGCAGCCTAGCACCGGCGCCGACGCCCGCCGCACGTGGTCCTGAGGCGTCGCGGTGGTCAGTTACCGCGCGGTCTTACGTCGACAGAGAACGGACAGCCAGCTGCCGCCCGGTGGCACCACATGCGTTCTCGCACGAGTCGCACGCGTAACACGCAAACTGTCACGTGCCAACAGGGGATGATAGGATGCATGGACAGCGGAGACAACAGCCTAAGAGCGCTGTATAAACGAGCATCGTGGTGTACGTGAGATGGTTCATGGCTACTGTTCGGTGGTCGGTGTTCTTTGGTGTTTGGTGGGCATTCTTAGATTGATTAGATTCTTAGAATTAACTGCTTAGCCTGAGCTAACTCAGAAATGCCGATTAAGCTTTACTCATTCCACTAGAAGAGACAAACGGTTAAAGCAACCTATGAGAATGAAAATGTTTCGAAACTTTGAATGCATTTTAATACCGGTAATAAATTATTCCCGGTACGATTTACTATCAGAATAACTTTAAAATATTCAAAAAGTGATTTACCAAGAGGTATAATTGACATTTTTTCACGAAATCACTGTTGACAGTACATCGAATTTCTGATTCATTCTATTACAACGTGAATATCAGTTATGACAGTAGATACACACCTGAAAATCTTGGCGAATGGTTGGAGATTGAAATTTTGAATGCGAGTTTGTGTTAATGATAAATTCTTCCCCATAAAGTCCATCTCTGAATTAGGTTCTTATTTTATTCCAACGCCCTGAAATGGTTGTGAAGCTCAACTTTAGCATTCTGAATCTCTAGTAAGTCGTGACTCTTACAGGAAATAAGTTTACGTTATGTTTTATGGAATTTATTGTTTTTCGCACATAATTTCGCTGCCCTTGGACCGATTTTTTAAACCTACCGAGCCTTTTACTTCCTACGCCTACTGGTGAGGAAGTATTGTAATCGCGAACAATTTCTGAAATGAGATGTTTATATGGCATTATGAGAAACCATAAGACTCATTTGCTTCGGTCTGTCTGTCTGTCCGCTAAACCTTGCTCGTTTATAACTTGGAAAATAAACCTGGAATTTTAATGAACTCTTTACACAAGGTTATTAATATACCAAGGATGAACGAGCTCTATAGCTTCAGTGTCGGCTGAGAAAAAAGTGGTAATTTTTTTTAATATATACAGAGACGGCTATGTGTGTAATAGGTAATAATAGCTGCATAGGATTACCGTGATTAGAAACATATCAATATACTTACGACACAAAATTAAAATATACTTTCCCCGCCCCTTGCAATCCCTCCCAATTTTTACCACTCGAAGGTTATTTAAAAAATGAGCAGGAGTCTCTAAAACATCAAAAAACGAAGTTTCAACAATTTATATTGTCTTATTTTTGTTTTTTGTTCGTAGCTCCGCCGCCTCTGGATCGGTTTCCAAAGCCTACAAAGCCTTAAATTCTTGACATTCTTGTGTCAAAATTTTATCAAAATATGAGCAAGTTATCGAGATACTAAAGATCAGCGGCAGACAGACAGACCGAATGAGTTTCATGTTTTTTAACTTCGAAAAAATGTCATATTTCACTTTCCAATTTTTCGAGATTACAATGATTTCGCACCAATTAGCGTGGGAACTAACTCGTTATTTTGTTATTCAGCAATGAAATGCTGTTCTTAAAATAATATTATTTTAATCGCTTTTGTGCCTGTCTTGAATGGAACTTGAGTAAGTGAAATATCCTAGCTCCAACGCTGGATCCGCCCTTGGTTCCAATGGAAATAAAAATGAACAGAAGTGTTCATACAAAGCTATGAAAGTAAATTGTAATAATTGCTTTTAACTTCACTAAGCTCCAGAATAGCTGAAACCACATGAACTTTTTATTTTCAGCCAAGTTCTGTCCTCATTTTCAGTGAAGTTTGCCTACTGCGAATCCAGGCAAATTGTATTTTCAATTACTTACGCAAACAGCAAGAGGAAAACTTAGTATAGATGATTTACTTCCGACTGCTTGTCGTCTGACGGTTCTTCGTATGCAAAGGCTGATTTCGTAACCTATGACCAAATCATCTACTTAGCAATGTGGGAGTCAAATGAAATTAGGATGTTCACATACACGCTGTTGTCTTTATATACCATTATGCATTATTTCTATTTTCATTCCATTTCTGCACATCGTATTGTACCTCTTCGGGTAGAATTGATATACAAAGACTATTCCGGAATAATCCCAGAATCTTGGATTTACGTCTGTAATGACCTTGTTCGAGTTTAAATCATTCTTAGTAGCAACTGATGAAAATCACGTATAACGCATAACCATAACGTAGCCAGCATGTTTGGAAATTCTGAAATTTTCTACTGGCATCTCTTTGTTGTTAAAAGTATCTAGCACGCATGCAAAAACTTTCTTGATAAAAGTCAAGTCGGTGCTTGCCTATACAGGATGGCCTAAAAATTTGCCTGTACCTAGCGTATCTGACAACAAGCATATTTTTCTAGTAGACATCTAATAAAGCTGTAAGTTAACCGAGCTATTAGGCTCCAATCGAATATAAATGTATCCGGCATCGAATGTGGAAAGGTACGACGAGCATCGGTATCCAAATCAAGTGTTGCGCGGTGTGTAGGTTGACCTAGCTGTTTATTCACAAATGGATTTGAAAAACAAGAATCGGCACATTTTGACAGCAATAATGAAGCGATCGGTTTACGCAGTTTGCGCTGAGTGTATTCAAGATGATAACCCGATTGTTTTCAAGGATGTTTCCGCCCAAGCTGATTAGGTTTGCTTACACCCAAATTCTATACTAAAGTAAATCTAAAGATAGGAAGAAGATAGCAATTCGAATCGAACGGCAACTTCAACAGCATTTACGACTGACATTAATTTTGAATAATTAGCACCTTTCCTCAATTTCCTTTTTAAGCTTTCCCTGGTGTTTTTGTGCACATTGCCTTTGATATTTCAGATGTAGGTGTTGTATTTATACAAAAGTGGCAGTGACCAATTTAATTCCGTTTTTTGAATAAGGCAATGTATTTATATTTACTCTGTACCCATTAAGTAACAATATGAAGTGTGCGTGCATTCAATTCAGTTCGACATTTTTTAAGATTGTGGCTTGAGTGGTTAAAGATATACCATAGAACTTTGGCACACTTGGACCAACATCTAGATTAAATGCAGTTGTCAGATTATTCAAATAGAGTTTTACTTATCTAGCATTCCAAATTTGTATCAGAAAAAATAAAATGCACACATTTTAAGTTTTCTCATTTAATTGGGTTATCATGAAATATGAAATTGCTGCTAAAAATAATGACCAATCTTTGTGCAAGAAGATTTGTGTCTCTCTGGGGGGATATGCTTGAAATCTTCCGTGAGTGTACGAAAACGCATTCCAACGAAGGGTGCGAAAAAATGATTCTTTTTGCTCAAACCCTCGTTGCAAATGACAGAACAGCTCGAATGGGCTATAAAAAAGAAAACGCTTGTGTAATCGGAGCATATCTCTCACTGAAATGATGCTATTCACCCTTACAAATAGCAATTTTCTCCGATCAAATTGTATGGAGGAGCCAATAGTAGCAGACCTCCGCAACCCACTTGATTATGACAGCACCCAGCAGCTCACAATAAAAATATGAATATTGCATATTTTTGCAATGGAGCGGAAACAAAACTGTGTTGGTTGTTTGTCATTTCTTTGAAAACTGCTTTAAATGATGTTTGAGGCCTATTTATCATATTTTTTGCTTGCACTTCCCAGTCTAGTTCATTAACTTTGAAGGAGGTGTAGAAGCATGATCCTCCAGTTTTAGAGAAGTAGGCCAAACTAATCACCGTTAAATTTCTTAGTGCAAGTAGCGAAACTAAGGAAAAGAATTTCCCCTCCATTCCCTCAGTGACCGCGCACCTCAATGGTCCTAGTGCAGGACGTTTTGCAATTATAACCTCAGTGGAACCCAGCATGACAGAGAAAAATGTATTAAAGTACCTAGCAGAACAGACTTAATAAGAAAAGTGCAAAAGTCAATATCAGTGGGAAATGCTAAACCGCTTTTTCTCATAATCGTCTTTACCCTTAACTGAGTGAAGTGAAGCTTAATAGGATATCCGAGATATATATGCTGAGTGACAGAAAAGGTACACACCTACATATGTCTATTAGGATTCAAGAATTATTTACATATCGATTTATCTTGCCATGAACAACAAGTGATAAAATGGTCATATTTTTCTGTTAAGTTTTTGTGGTGGCTGCGTGTATTGTTTGGTGATAAAGAAGCAATCATTTTTCGTACATTAACTGTGTCAGTTAAATGTTAAATTTCGTGTAGCTTCTTGAATTTGCCGGGTGTCCCAGCTTGTGACTTTGAGAGGGGTCGAATTGTCGGTCTATCGATAAGAGAAGTTGCTAGCTAGGACGACCAACAGATCCATATGCCGTATACTGCAGTGTGAACGAGCGTGGACTTAGAAAGGCCGAGGTCAGCGAGCCAGGGGTTCTGGATGTTCCAGAGGCACCACTGAGCGACAAGACCGCCGGTTAAGACTTCTGGCTCTGAGAGACAGATTCAGTAGAACTCGAGCCATCGCTGATCCGTGGTTTGTAGAGCATGGAAGGATGGTTGGTATGCGTACGGTATATCGCCAAATACGACAGTTTGGCCTTCTGTCTGATCGCCCAAAGATCTGAACATTGGCGTAACCGTTTGCTCTGGTGTATGGAAAGAATTCTATGGGACCGCGAATGGAATCAGGTGGTCTTTAGTGTGACGAATCCCGCTTCTGTCTTTGGATGCATGATGATCGGGCAAGAGGGAGAACTCGAAGTGCTAAAAGACGTGACACACAATTTGACAGAAAGCGTCACGTTCACCACACCGTGGGAGTTATGGTATGGGGTGTTATTGCTTATGGTAGCAGATCACCACTAATTTTCATCAGAGGCAATATGACAGCCCAACGCTATATTCAGGAAGTACTGGAGCCTCATATTATTCCATACCATCCAAAACCCGATTTGGATCAACATCCCAACTACCGTTTATCTTAGCCATCACGATCGCCTGACCTATCTCTAATTGAACACGTCTGGAACATGACAGGTCGCATGCTCTTGAATTTGCAAAACCCTCTACAGACTTTAGCAGCTCCTACTCACGAAGTTGCAGTAGCCTGGAATGAGATATTCCAACAGGACATCGATCACCTTATCACCAGCTTCTGCAGTTAGTTGACGAATTAAGCTGAAAGTTTAATCATTTTACTAGTAAGGGACACTGAACATATATTCCAAAAATTATTAAAATCGGATAAACATACGTAGGCGTTTACGTTTCATTTGTCACTCAGTATAGTTCTGGCTTAAAGATGCGCCAAGTTGCACTGACCTGTCATTTCAAGAAATACACTGAATAGTAGTAGCCTGAGTAAAAATGACACATGTTTTATCTTTAGTCTACGTCTGGTTGGAGATGCTGCTTGAAAAAACCTTGGATAAGACCGAGGAAGAAAGGAAAACATTGACTTCATTGAGATTCAAGCATCTGCTCCCATTCCTATCGACACAAAAAGTAATGTCACAAGTTTCTATAAAAAATATCCTACGGGGCTGCTTTATGGAGAAAGAAGCGGCTGGAAATCGATTTATCAACTTTTAACGACACTGTATAATTCAACAAAATTTTGACAGCTCAGTAACCAGTAAACAGTTGAGGCCTCAGTTGCTGGTGTCATCGAACAACTATACGTTACTTAAATCGCCATCGCCAGGGATCGACTAACGTTTACAATATAGCTAATATTTTTCAAAACCTATATAACAATGGCTCAATAATTAATATTTTTGGAAAGCATGTAGCTGAAAAAATGTGCACGGCTTTGATCTCGATAGACAGTACCGTTTTTGAGAAAATATAATAATATAATGCTGGCCCTATCAAATATGTTATCAGAACTACCATTATTTCCAAAATGGCGAAACCAGTAAACTAAATCTACTGCTAAGATTGATAGAACTGTACTGAAATATGTGCGTTTTTATCAGAAATGTTATTGTTGGCCCATTATTATACGGGGTTCAAAAAAACTTGGTACTTTGCTTTGGGGAAAATGCGCTCCTGGTGATCTAAACAAGTTTTCCATGGACACCATCCTGCTAGGAGTCAACTCCATACTACGTTGTCAACACTTTGTTAACACGTTTGAAAGATGAAACGTGTAAAACCAACTTCTAGTCGCGTAGAAGAGCTCCACAGGACTGCTTGGTATAGGGACTTGTGACATTATTTTTCTGTATTCTATATGGGAGACTTACATGTTATTCTGGAACGCCCTGTATGCCCCTCTGAACTACGCAGTAATTTATATTCAAATTTTTGTGTGAAAAAACGCTTCATATTTTGCGGATACCATGAACGCCATACAGACCAAACTCAATTTCAAAAATATTATTTATCAGAGTGTGTATTGAAATGACAGGTCTATAATTTGATTACTATATGTTAGAATAAAATGCATGTATATGCTGAATCACTGCATCAATATTTAGATGCTAACCTGTTTCTTTGTTCTAATAACCGACATAATAAAATAAATAACATGAACCAGGATTGAGTTAAAACAATCTTATTCATTTTGAACTTCGCCAAAAAGAAAAGAAAGAAGTGTAGAATTTTTCTAAAGACGAGTGCAACAAAATAATTGACACCCTGAGTGGGGCAAATGCTTGTTCCTGAAGTTGTTGTATTCAGTATTCAACTTCTTCCCGTTCAAGTGAATGTAAACGCTTCAAGGGATATCTCAGTACCGATTGCTGGGTGGAGGTACAAGTCCACCAACGTGCCACTTTGGGCCTATTTAACAACATTAACACGCAAAAAGGTGGTAGACTGTCGACTAAGGCGGTACTACCCGCTAGATTTTTTAATCTCGGGTCGTGCACCGATTAAACATTTTAGCTTCCCCAATTACGAGGTGCACTCCAATCTGTAAAAGAACGGGGAAGTTGTGGCTTTGGTCCACGTTTCTTTGGAATCAGACCGGAATTTCTCCTCGGTCATTTCAATGCCCATATTGAGCTCTGAACACGCATTCTGTCCCTTACAGCACTGCTGTCCTGTCTCCCCTGGGTAACTCAGACCACGGTGGTTAGGTATCGGTCAGAACCCGCTGTGACAGCAGAAACTCACCCATGCCGTAATATTTTTCATTACGGACATGCCGAGTACAAAATAATGCTTCCACATTGACGAACAAAAAACGTCCTAGCGTTCATCTGATTTTGATGGATGGCCGAGTTCTGCCAAAGAGTCGTTCATTCCGTCTGGTTCTAGCTCTGATAACCGAGGACCTGATACCTACTGTACTTTTAACCGCAACTTTGAAGCTTTTACAATATACTACAAGACGATTGTCTTAATCTTATACAAAATACAGTATGTGTTACGTGTGAGCGAACATATGAAAGAAATGTAATCTTTGTAAACTTTAGTTGCTAAAAACTCAATTACCTCATAGTTTCTTGCAGATTTTGTGTATGTAACAATTACTGACTTGATGTTTCTACAACTATTCCAGAAAATATTTCGTAACCCTGGTCTAACATTTATTTCAGTAAAGGGAAATGGAATATAACAAGCACATCTGTGAAGCCCCTCATTCACGATCGCTCCATCATGATTTTGACGGAACGGTGGCCAAAAAGAGAACCAGTGTAGGAACGTAAATGCTTGAATGTTCACCGCGATGTGGTGTCCAACCGAGCAGCAAATCGGATCAAACTCCGTTGCGTCGTCTATTTAGAGCTGGGAAGGATAGTTCCAAGGAACTGCAGTAACTGGGAAATCGAGAGATGCGATGTGAAGCCTTTTGGAGCGTCCATGAATGTTGTCGGATGTGACAATTAAAATATGTATGAAAAATACTTCCTTTCTTCGCAAATGCGATGTTCCATACATCTAGACAATTCAATCCTAAATACAAACTCTGAATTCTGCGAAGTAGGAAGCTTTCAATAAACGGCTCTAATATATCTGTCCATCTGGTATTATAAACATTACTCCCCTGTGAGCAGAGTTATTGCATATTCGGAAGTTTCTAGGTTGCACAAGCAAACTGCATTCATTTATTTCCGGCATGTACGCTTTGTCAAATAAATAAAGTTTGTACAGAATACCGTAGATGAAAACCATATAATGCCGACCCCAGCGTCCGTGGTGTCTAACAATGTACGATGATACGTATGTTGCGCAAAAAATAGATGATGTCGAGGATCAAATAACAGAGTAATTTATATCTGTTAAATAATGTTTAAACCGAAAAATTAAAGAGAAAACAGTTAAAAAATGTGATGAATAAAACCAAGAAAATGTTCGGAGGGCTATAATAATTTTTATTTCATTGCTAAATACCAAAGTTGAGTGAAATACTTTTCTAAAATAAAAATTATGCAGAAGAAATTAGTTTGTCAAGTTTACCTACTTGTATTTATCGAAAAAGATATTTCAAATGGCAGGCCAACTATCTGAGAATATTTTGAAAAAAAAAAACAAACAGCTATCCTGTTATTTCTAGTCAAATCAACAAAAGATAGACTAAAAAAAGAGAGACAAGAAAATTAATATCTTAAAAACAGTGAAACTTTTTCTAGTGTCATTTGTCCCTACTTTTTTGTCGTACTATTTACCGGTATATGATGTATGTTCAAAGAAAACTATTTATGGATTATTATAAATACTCGTAGTTCCTACCTAGGGACATATTCCAAAAATACCTACGATACCTACCTTAACCGCTTATCAAAGTTGAAATAGATTGCCTCATTTCTTATTACATGTTCGGATTGATCCTTTACAAAAGGAGAAGAATGATATAAATAACATACAAATGTTGCTGCTTACTAGTTGTAGAATTAGTATTAGTAAAAGTTCTACTGAGGTTTGATTGCTTGACAGGTGGAGTAGTGAATTTTGTGTCGAACACTTCTTATTAGCCTCAACATTATTAAATCAATTTTCTTTCTTTGATTGGACGATACAGGCTAAAATAGCAAAATCTAATTTTTCTAAAAAAAAAAAATTAAGGGTCGATTTCACTAACATTAGTCTAACGCGGCTTGGACCAATTAGGGAACAGCTTATTGAAATGCAATTTGATGGAAGCTGTCAATGCTCTCATAATATCAGTAATTTCTATTAAAGAAACCGAAACCTGTCTGTTTTCAAAATGAATATTTAATTAAAATGTGAGGTGAGTTCAGGGGTAAAACAAAAATATTCACAATCCTATATAGACCGGGAGCTGTGGGCAAAAATGGGGGGTCATGTGATACAGCAGGAAACCTACTCAGAACGATAGTACTACATGAAAAAATAACTTCTAGCACTATACCGTCACTTGAGAGCGGTACATGTAAGTACAGGGGAAAATTGAATTTTCTGTCCAGAAGGGGTCGGATAAGACTAAATGATTTTTTACGGCTTTCTTTAGTATCACAGATGCCAACAAAATAATCACGATGCACTTAGTGCCGTACGGAAATAATGGTGCCGGAAGCTATAAACAAATTTTAATTTTCAGGAAATTTTCTATGCGGAAAAATTAATTAATTAACGTACGGCATACATTTACCTTTCTGTAATTTTTTACATTTAAAATTTTGCTGTATCACATGACCCCCCCATTTTTGCCCACAGCTCCCGGTCTATATAGGATTGTGAATATTTTTGTTTTACCCCTGAACTCACCTCACATTTTAATTAAATATTTATTTTGAAAACAGATAGGTTTCGGTTTCTTTAATGGTTGTCTGGTGAGTCGGTTATGACAGTATTCTACTAGTCTGTACCTTTTGTACGCACAAAAATCAATTCAGGGCATAGTCTAATCATATTAGACGAAAATACTTGTTCAAGGGGGCATTCAAAACATGGACGCGTAAGATGGGTACACCAATTTTTGTGGGAAAACTTTTTATTCGACAACAATGAATGAAAAAACGTGTTTTTGGGATTCAATCGAAATTATCGGCAGGAACGAAAAAACTCTTCATATAAGATTTTTAGGTATTTATGAGACCCACAAAATGAGACCACACGTAAAAAGATCCGACTAATAGCAAAAAGTTATAGTCGAAAACCTAGGCAAACTGCAGGTTTTGGCACTTGGTTGGTAATGCGACGATGGTTTCTTGCAGATATTTGAAATTCTTAAAAATCATAGGATTCGTACTTCTAAATAATCACAACAAAATTGGAGTAGTTTGGTCGAGTAGTTTTTGAGGATTTCTGATTGTTTGTCCAAAAACACCTGCTTTCCGGCCATCACTACTAGTTTATTGATCAATATACAGGGTTAGTTCAAAGGGCATTTTGTAGCAAAATACACTAGTTTACCTTGCCGATATAAATCGCAAACCATTTCGGAAGATAAATGTTATTTTTATGCAAATAATGATGGTTACGTTTTTCCTCTAAACAAATTCAAACATTTCGTATTTGTGAGTAATTCGCAACAAAAGATGATAGACACATCCGTTTTATTTTACAATGTGTATAGACGTATGTATTCCGAATATCGTAGTGCATTTGTTCAATTACTCACAATTACGAAATGTTTGAATTTGTTTTTCGCATAAAAAAACATTTATCTTTCGGAATGGTTTGTGAATCATATCGGCAGGGTAATCACGTGCATTTTGCTATTAAATGCTCTTTGAACGGACCCTGTATATTGCTCAATAAACTAGTAGTGATGGCCGGAAAACAGGTGCTTTAGGATAAGCAACCAGAAAGTCTCAAAGAACTACTCGACCAATGTCCTCCAATTTTGCTGTTGTCACTTAGAAGTGTGAATCCTACGGATTTGAATAATTTCAAGTAGTTGCGTGAAATTATCGTCGCATTACCAACGAGTGTCAAAACCTCCTCATTTTTCGGCCATAACATTTTTGCTATTATTCGGATCTTTTCACGTGTGGTCTCGTTTTGTAGGTCTCATAAATACCCAAAAATCTTATATGAAAAGCTTTTTCGTTAGTGTCAACACTTTCGATTGAATCCCAAAAACACGTTTGCTCACTCTTTGTTGTCAAATAAAAAGTTTTCCCACAAAAATTGGTGTACCCATTTTATGCGTCCATGTTTTAAATACCCCCTTGAACAACTTGCACCAATAAAGCCGGACTTCTCAATTATTTCGGGGAAGTTTGCTAACATGATTAGACTAGCATGCGGAGTAAGGGATGAGGATGTGCGTTCGTAATCATAGGCAACCGATATCTGCGCCTCTCGTGTGCTCGATTGCCTGAGTATGTATGTATAATAATATTTTGGTATGGAAATATTTGAATTATTTTAAAAAATATTGGAAAATGGCTTTTTTGGTAAATATTCTCATTTCGGTAAAAATACCGAAAAATCTGGTTCAAGTCCATGCATAGACAATCTGAAACATGCAATATGTATTTATATTCTGAATTCTATGTGTATCCATTCATATTCGCCAATATTTCATTTGAAGCTTCTATTATTCATAAGATTTTAGCAAAATGTAAAATAGTAAAGGCAACACCGCACACCGTAGCCCAGTTGACAAGAACGACAAGCTGATGTATAACCCTACGGAGCCATTTTGGCGTAATTTAAAAATATTCATTTTTCATTTTTTCAAGTATTGTGCAACGATTTTGGGAAAAATCTAACTATATACATATAGCAGTATCTACTTGCCAGGTTGTGCATGTACATACATAAGTACATATCTATATGCACAACGCTAAAAATAAGATAACTAAATACCTTTGGTATACAAACTCGGTCATGACGGAACGCTGGGCTGGGAGGTGTAGCCATCCCCTGGGGGGCTTAATTGAGTATGCCACATTGCTGGATAATCTCACATTTCGGACAGGAAAGGTCGACAGGTATTGACCTGCTGGCTATAATAATAATAATAATAATAATAATAATAATACATATTTACTCACTCAATGTGCAAAGAAAACAGCATGAGTAAATAAATATAATATGAAAAAACTTCTAATGCTACAAATAAGCGTCCTGAAATTGTATTTTCGGTCCAGCTGTGAAACCTGTATGATCGCAATGAGTAGCAGCCCTTCGATGGAGTATTACAATTATACATACCCTTTTTACTTCTCAAGTATTGTAATCGCGAAAATTTTCGAATTAGAGATACTACGTGTTTTGGTTATTATATGTACATCACGAATAATCATGTCACTTATTTCCGTCGGTCAGCCAATCTTGTAACCGCCTATAACTTGAGAAATACTGCATCGATTTCGGAACTGTTTTACTGACTTTTTTCGCAGAGGGTCTAGTTTGTGCTGAATATAATAGTTTATGAACTGATAACGGCGTTGCGCGGGAAGCGCAGAGTCGATCTACTTGACGACATTTTTTATTTATAGTACATTCTACACATTCAAAAATATGCGATATATCTGGAAAATCATTACTTACCTCTAAGATGGAGAATAGCTCGGCAGGAGCAATCCATTCTACTGGTGCTTATACCAGATAATCTACATAATTTTGTGGTTTAATTACGAATAGCATCGTTGCGGAAATCGCGTCTAAATCTGCTAATACAAGATTTATTACAAATTTCTAATGCAAATCAAATAAATGGTGATTAGGGAACGTTAATCTAATGCGAAATTCCCCCAAATGG